ATGTATGTATATACCATGTAATATTCACACGTGAGGAAAAGTGAAGCTTTACAAGGCTCCCCAGTCTTGGCTTGATGAGAAAGAAAGCGACAGACTAGAAGCAGCTGCTGACAAATAAAAACTAACTAGCAATGCCGCCTCGGAGTCACCCACATAAAAGCTTCTCTGCTTGGTTATTATCGCACAGATAAGTGGCCAGGAGGGCTGCAGGGAGAGTAACAACTGGTGAGCGTGCATGTGTGTGTGATTACAAGAGAGTACCATTTCCTTCAAAAGAGTACCTGGTGAGAGAAAAAAAAAAACTCCACACACAATACATGTCTTATCCAGAGCTCCTGTATCCAATAAACAAAGCCATGTTTGATGTGTTGTAAATGAACAGGAGCGAGACCCAGAGGGCCAAAACTCACACGGAGCGCTGCACTGCCACATATCAGGAAGACCGTCTTTCTTTCATCATTTTTATAGCCCCAGCTTCCTGAATTACCTGCACTCCACTCACTCCCCGTTGGCAAGTACAGCCCATGACACACACACACAAGTGAACCGGGAGACCCCATGCCAGCGCTGATGGCCTTCATCTCAGCCTACCTCTGCTGAGCTCATGGGAGGTCAAACCCACTGACTCCGTCACATCGTCATGCTATACTGTAAAGCGCCTTTTAAACTCTAACTTTCAACTGATATCACCCAAACTGCACAATTTATTTTGACTGAGAGTCATTTTGATTGACAGGATCCTGCCGTTCACAGACATAGGCCAAATAAAACACCAGCAGCTCTGAAACTATTGCCAGCACTGAGATACACATGTTAACAAAAGTGAAAATAACTTTTTCAGGATCAAGTGTTTTTTTGTTTTTGACACTACATCAAATAATACTGTGCAAACAAACATGTACTGCTGAAAAAAACATGACCATAAAAATGGTGGTGCAATTGGTTGAAAGCTAATTTTATATTATTTAGTTCATGCAGCAGAAGCTGTCTGAATCAGTCCTAATCTTCCTGCCAAGACAAATCAACAGGCCGACAGATTCAGTTTTTTAATAAGTTGCTAATTGTCAAGCGAACAATCCACTTCAAAAATGTCCATCAATACATCTGTCAGTCTGCCTCCATTTGTCTTGCATTTTATTTTTTCAGTGATCACAGAATCAGATTATTGTTGGAAGAAGACGGCTGACGCTGGAGGCGAGAAAAGGAGCCATCATCATCACAAACCCCCATCACTGCTTTTCTGGGTGAAACCCAGCTGAAAAAGAGGCTGCAGCCGGCACAGTGGATTCACCCAGACACTGGTGGGATCCATAATAACACGGAAAGCAAAACAAGCAAGGGCACGAGGAGGAAGGCACTGACTGACAAGGAAATTAAGATAACAAATATTGAGAGGATCTTGTAAAACAAAACAAAAACATTTCCATTTCCTTCATCGGAATATTTAGGAAAATTACACTTTCTTTTATTTCTATATATGTACTTGTAGGTTATTTAGGCTATTGTTCTGAAAATGGTGAAAGCAACCAATGAGCCATGAATTGCATAAAAAAAATGCTCCATTCATCTGTCTGCTGAGCTACTGAAGTACGTCCTCCGCTGCAACAATGATTCTCAAACATCACAGCCCAAAGGACCTCAAACCAAACACAGCTCCAGGTGGTTTCACTAATCTGATCCTCATCTCTGGCAGAAGGTGTGAGAATCAGCGACATGAGCTGCTGAAAAGTCGTTCCTCTCGAATGAAGCCTGCGTGAGTCAGGTTTGAGTCAAATGGAGCATATCCAGAATACTAAACAATGCCTCTCCTTGTCATTGGCAGCCCCCTGACTTTTCCCAGGTTTCCCTTCACTGTACCTCCTCCACTGGCTGCCTGTGGCTTGTTAGTATCTAATTCAGTGTCCCGGTGCTGCTGCATACAGCTGCCGAAAGAGTACACTCCAGTCTTTATTTCAGCCACACACACCGGCACATTCTACCAGGTGGAGGATCATTGCCCTGCGTCACTCCACCTGCCCTCAGATCTCCATCTCTCCTTTGAATTGCATTATCTTTACTCAGATCTACATGTCTTTGGTTCATAACTGGAGCTCCTGTCTTCAACTGATAGAAGTGATGTAGAAAGTGGAACCATTCTAGGTATTCAAAGCCTATCAGTTGATCAGAATCGAATTAATGCTGCAATGCCCACCTTTGAAAACCACTTTACAATATTGCATCATGTCGTATAGGCTATCCATTGCCACAAATTAGTTTCAACAATCAAAAGACGCACAACTCCTCCCGACTATTTGTCAAAATCACTGTACGCTGAGATATTGAGCATGATTAGGGCTGCAACTTCTCATTATCGATTAGTCGTCTAATGGTTTATTCTATAAAATGTCAGAAATGAGTGGAACATCCCCATCACAATTCCCTAGACGCAAAGATATTCAATTTACAATCTTATAAAACTGAGAAAAAGCTGCGCATCTTCACATTTGAGAAGCTGGAATATTTGCTTGAAAATGACTCAATCATGGGGATTAAGTTATTGTCTCTCATCTAATCAGTTATTCTTGTTTCAGCTCTCCGTGTGCTGGATAGATGAATGAAGAAACTGCAACAATGGCTATTTACTCTGGGACAGTGTGGGAGTAAACAGACGGGGCTGCCCAGTCAGCTGGAGAACAGGAATGCTGCAGCAAGAATTTCAAATTGTGGTGATCCCATTCCATTTAGACTAGTCGCTCATTGTTTTCAGTCCAGCGAGTCCACCCAGTTGCCTCACCCGGTCCGGTGGCAGTGAGGGGGATTCATACTGTGTTTATGCTGGTCCACATGTCATGTTGCTGAGCTCCAAAGATGACTAACCTCCCCTGTAACTGGCCTCTGTGCTTGTTTTCTTTACACGATCAGACGGGCAAGGTGAGGTGCAATGCATTGGCCAATCATTCTACTGACTACATTCAAACTCTTTGTTTTTTGTCAATCAGGAAGTATTAAACGGCCTCGCTCATCCCTCTTGGACAAATAACCGCAGGCATTTGAGGAATGCTGTGGGAACAATGTTGCTGCTATTGGAATTCATCAGTGGCCACAGTGTAAACTATTTTATAGAGCCCACTTGGATGGCGGGGCGGTTATAGGATAAGCCACACATCCTCATTTCGTTGGTGACACAGGATGCATTCAACTCTGACTCCGAGGACTTGTTTCCCAAAGGCAGCTCACTATTGACATGACAGACTATTTTGGCAGGCTACCTATAAATTATTATACCATTTTAGAGACAGGTGACCAGGTAATATAAACTAAAATGTACTTATCAGGAGATATATATGTCTTTATATGTCCATGGTATGAAAACTTAACTAAAAACAAAAGTCTTTCTATCCGGATCTGGCAACATACAAAAGACTCTAATGCATCCAAAATCTATAAATGTCATATTTTGGTATATTTTTTTGAAACATTTACTGTCAAATACCTTTGTTGTAAAGCATTAATTTCCATGAAGAACCTTCATCAGCGATGACATGGACACGGACAAGAAGGCAGCAGCTCGTGTTATTGACACAAAGTAATAAAACAAAAAGAAATCCTCCTCTTACCTTTGTGCTTCTCCATTCCCTCGCTGTTTCACCTTGGTAGCCCTCGCTTCCCTCCTCTCATATAAATCAAACAATCCCAAAAAAAGTTTGCGGAGAAGTTTTCTGAGTGAAGGGACGGAGAAACTCTGCGGAGTGCAGCCCCGACGCTCCCGTTTTCAACAATACAACACTGACTGGCTGGGTCGAGATTTGACGCAACAACAGCGCTCTCTCCTCGTCTTCCTAATCTAGCTTTTTTTTGCCGCACCTCCTCCCGCATGCAGCATCCGCGCCGCAGCTCGGCTGCTCTTGGAAGAGTGTGTTTTTCAGGTGTCAGTCAGAGACACTCACGGTGAGGAAGAGTTTCACTCTGAGGGGGGGGGGGCATCTAGTCGATCTTCAGATTCGGTTTGTTTACTACTGTGAGTTCCTAAATCCTGGTTTCCAGACAAACACGTGAGATCTCTGACTGGTTCGACTGCAGATCTGTGTGATTCTTGACTGACATGTAGGTCAGATTGTATCTGTCAAAAACACAGTTAATCCGCAAATGAGTGTGTCGGATCAGAAGGAAACAGAGAGAACGGTGTCAGGATAAAACTAACATGGTATCGATGTTATTATTACACATATACAGTTAGTGACTTTATTAAAAAAACACTGTTAACGCAACAGAAAAGTGATCAGACAACCGTGGGAGCACCGTGACGTGGTGGAGGTAAGGAATGTCATGCAGTTTTACCGCAAAACGATTAAACCGCATGACGTGCATCCGAGTGCTTTTATATGAAGCCTCTAATTTGGTGAAGGTCTTATACAGTAACATACGGAGCGCAGGCGCAGTCAGCGCGATTGTGTGGTTGAGTAGCAAAAGCGCAAGACCAGAGAAACACTTAGTAAAGGTTATAGTTAGCCTATTATTGCCCCAGTCACGCTAAAGATAAGTGCTGATATATAGTGCTGCTGGTTAATGATTCACTCTCTATATGTGGCTCACTATCTGCAGACTGTAGGCCCTGATGGAGGGCCCGCTTCATGTCACTGTTGTTTGGTTTTACTCACAGGGGACATATATGACATCGAGGCACATGACAGTCCAAGTGTCCCTCTGTAGTTCCCTCGTGACGACGCCATGTGTTTAATTGATCACATGTCTGAGTAAAGTAACATTAGTCATGAAAGAGGGTTCAGCTCTTCAAAAACATATTCACCCATCCTCTAACGGGGCTGAGAAGACACCCCGAAGGACGGCAGCGGCCGCCGGGGTCAGACAAGGTCAAGATCCGAACTCAACAGAGGCTGAGGACACAACTAAGGACTTCCCTAATGTACAGTATTGTGACAACCCTTTCCACTGAAAACTGTGCAAGAAATGGCGACCTTTGTGATCTCACAACTTTGATGATGAATTATCATGAATAGTTTATTCATCAGAGGTGAAGTGTTCTTGCCCCTCTCTATGTGCCAAGATTTTAAGTTCTTTGTACAGACATTTTAACTTAAAAAAAGAAAAGATAATATTGCTAGTATTAGGCATCTACTCTATTTCTCTGTAATGCACACACATGCAGGCAACAAGCTTTCCTCTACTTTCCCATGACTAGTTCCTCTGAAGCAAATTAATTGTTCAAAGAGTGAAGAGTGTCTTGTTCAAATCCAGTGCACAGATTTTCCCAGCTTTGATTTCCACCTGTAACCCCATTCGTCACAAAGATACAAACATTGCCACTGGGGATCTCTCCTTTGCTGCGTATTGATGCAAACTCATTTCTGAGCGTTAATGGCAATATTTCTTCAGTGCACGTGTGCACCTCTGTGTGTGTGAATATACAACGAGCAGCAATATCCTCTGATCATTTTCTCAAGTGAAAATAGAACATAATGGTTCAAATTGAATGTGATTGGCGTGTTAGCGGGATTTTCTCGATGTCATAGCTTAAAATCTGTTTTTTAAATAGAACCTTTATGAATGTAAAGCTATTAGTATAAGACCAGGTTATTATCCATCTGCACTGTATTTTCCAAAAATAAGATGTTGAGTTGTCATTCTGAAGAAAAGTCTGGCTCTTGTGTCTTCTTCATTTATCGCAACAAAGGCTGATGCCATATTTATTCAATACAGTGGGACAATTGATGCTTTTTTGTTGTCTGTTTATGTGTCAACTTCCTGGCTCAATATTTTTGTGTTTGTTGTTATGCACAAATACAAAAGAAAACTTGCACTTGACCAAGTCTTTTCACCTTCTTCTAGGCCAACTGCAATGACGGCAATGATTCAGTTCTCCGCCTTGAAGCGGTGTCTATCAGTCTGAATCTGTGTGCAGACTTCACGGGTCAGCTAAAAGTCAACAGGTGATGTCACCGTTTTTTCTACACTTTATGGTATAGCCTTGAGCGAATGGCGAAAGTGTGAATGTAAGTCAGGCATGATGGCTCAGCATGAACTGAATACAAGGGTGGTCTGTCTTTGTCTGTCCGTCTACAGCAAAAGAGCTCTCTTCTTAATCCAGCAGGGGAATTCCTATTGTGCAGCAGACCTTTGTGAGCCCCTGGCCGTACGGGTGATTTCAAGTCTTCAACGTTCAGATTTGGATGATTTCGGGTCATCGTGCTTGCCCATATGTGTGGGGTATTGATGTGTAGGGGTCGAACAAGGGTGATACAAGTTTCTACGTGGGTCAGACACACTTGAACTTTACAAGATCACATTTTTGAATCAAAGGTGCAAAGATGGAGCGGGCTTCCCTCCTCTTTTCTGTTGGAGCACAAAGAGCATTCCTCAGCTGTGAATCAGAGGACAAAGGTCACTGACTCAACTCCATATTAGCACTGGACCCTCTTTGATTCAGGGGCCTTTCCCATGTTTGCACACATATACACAAACACACGATGCACAACCAATCCCCTGAAAAGAAACCCCCCATTTATTTAGTTATTTTCATCTAATCTAGTCTGAACCTCTTACTGTTAAGTCTGGGAATTTCCAAAAGAAAGTTGAATCCACTGACTCTGCTGTTCCTCCCTGTTGTTTTAAGAATGTTTAGACCAAGATTGCAGAGGGTACCGGCTGCACACTGCACCTTGTAAAGATGGCTCTCGTTTCCCTGCGCCACAGAGGTGCGTGCACCTGACTAAACGCCGAGAGGCTCTCCCGTGGCTTACGTAGGAGAGTGTTAAGTCATAGCGGGATAATATTGTCTTTAGTTCATGTGTGCTCAAGTTCACGGTAACCTCTGTGGAAAATAAACAGTGGTTCTTCAGATTTCAAAGTGTGTGCAGATGACTCATGGGAGAGCTGAGAAAATGTTGAGGCGATACCTTTTGTGACGGCTTAAATCTCGCCTGCCAGGTAGGTTGTGTTTGGGGAGGGATTTTTGAAGTCTGATCTCCTGTATTGAATAAGACCAAGCAGAGGACAAGTAGTTAGATAATTCCCCGAAATGCACAAAATACACTTATTGCCTTACTTATTTGTCACTATTACTAACATTAGATATTACATCAAACAGGATATATGCAGTAAAGTCAAATATGTTCATACAATCAAAGACAATCTCTCAACAGACTTTTATCTCAATCGACCATCTAGTGCAAATAACGATGAAAAAAATAGATAAATAAACGCAAAAATTCCCGTCTTCTAGTATGAATATTGATATTAGATGGATATTCTTGACATCATTTGGTGTCATGGTTGAATATTAATTTGCTCTAACTTTTTCCTAAAAAAACAGTATAAGCCTTTTGCTGAGAACACATTTTGTTGTGTCACAGAAAAGAACGGCTAAATAATTAAATCAATGATGGATGAATTCAATGTAGCTGCTTCAGTTTCAGGGTCTTGTGCATGCTGGTTCACTGTCACACTGTAATTACTACTGGGACATTTGAATAGAACGGAGCCATCGCTAACATTAACAGCTGTGCTTTATGAAACCTAAACAGTCAGAACAGAAACTTCAGTTACTCTTGCTCTAGTCTACCAGCACTGAACCAAAATAGTTTCTCTGGTGAAGTCTGTACCCCACTGTATTACATTCATGCCTGTAGTTGCTGTGCAACATTACCACCTAGAGGTGTAGATGTAGAAGTGTGGACGGCTCCAGATAAATGATAAATACATGTGGAGTTCTTGCATACTTGAAAGTTAATGATGATTTTTCTGTTATTTAAAGACATCATCTACTATATGAAAAGACAGAAGAAGAATAAAGCCCTTTTCATGTCCAACACTATGCCAGCATCCATCTGCCAATGAATCGGCATCTGTATGATGAACACAAACAGAGGCACATCTCAGATTTCTCTTAGCCCTGTTGCTTCACATAATGAAATACTCCACCAAAGCTTAGATCTGTCGGACTCCTCAGTTTGGCAGCAGGCATCACTCTGACTAGCCTCATCTCAGAGAAAGATAAGCAGTCTCTCAGAGCAAAGTACTGCATCTGATGTTAGAGCACGGTGACAATAGAGCCTCCTCAAACACATGAATGACGAGAGACTTTATAAAAAAGCTCCTTTTCACTCAATTGAATTTTCCTGAGATGTGCCAGGACGTCAAGTGGGATGTGAACATCATTTTCACAGACAAATTTACATGTAAATCACGTACTCTTTAAATACAGAGGCAGAAGTTTAGCCTCTTTGCTTTGGTTAAGTTCAACCAAAGGGCAATTGAATCTGTGAAAATTACCTCTCAGGAACCACGAGAGCAAATTTCATTTGTATTATTATTTGCGTACACCTTTTACCGTCCTCACTGTCATCTCACATGGGTACAGTGTTGAATGATGTGCTATTAAGAGCCAAGAATACAAAATGTATGAATATTTAGATTTTAACTAACACATAACTTATTTCACTTAATTGCATAAGTTGTGCTGTGTGATATTTCTTTTAACTGGACTGACCACCTGCCTGCTTTTGACACTCAGTGTCTTAAACAGCAGAGCATACATCTAATATTTACATAAACATAAACATATAGGCTATTTGCAATGTATTGTTTAATTTGTTGAATATTTGCAATAAACCACCCAATGCTATGGTTCATATATTGTTAATATACTTTAAATTTTAACCAAAGAAACAAACAACAAACACTTTTGCATCCGTTTTGTTTATTTGCACAGTCTGAAATTTAAAAAAATGATACAACCAAATATTAACAATGGAAATTAATGTACAAGTAGAGGACAAAATACTGGAAAGGTATGACTAGCCTACTTGTAGTTGAATAAGATTTCATGATATACATGACATAAAAAACACAAAACCATCACACAGAGCGTAAAGTCATTCTGAAATGTTCTCGGTTTGACTTTAAGGAAGATGTAACCAAATGAGTAAACAGTTCCGTAAGTTAGTACCGCTGTATTTTATTGAGAAGTGCTCTCTGCTTGTGAGATATTTAAAACACTTCAAGGTCCAAGGACAAGGACAAAATGGCCTATGAACCTAAGTTTGGAAACCTTTGACCTGAAAAACTTAAAACACATCCAGCTTTTAAATGCCGCATAGAGTCGTCTGGTGTTTTTTTTTTTTTTTTTTGACACTGTACCTTTAAATCGCACCCGTATCTAGTACGCATGCGCATCCTCTGTTTAGTTTTCTCCAACCTGATAAACTGTCTAGTGTCGCTGCGCTAGCAAACCCATCGGTTCCCGGGTTCTTGTCATGTTTTGAGAGCGACAGCGGGGCTTTTTCTCCACGGAATACAAGGAAACACCACCGCACACTGCTGTCAATGAAGCCAACGTCTGGAGGAGGCTAAAATTTCCTGCGGGAACAGACCAGGAGGACCAACAACAGTTCAAAGTATTTGCTCGATGCCCCCCTCCAGTCGGCAAGAATAGCCTTCCAGTTCCCACATCCATGTTGACTGCGGCAGCCTTCGCACTGGGTCCAGGGCTACGACGCCACAACCCCTTTGTTCTTCTGGGCCAAAGATCCGGCTAAATTGTACCGGTTTTGTGGAAAGCGCCGTCGCATGTTGCAATATACATCCCGGTGTCGGTGTAACGGATTGTTTACGCGTTAAAATGGCTGCTAAAATGGCATTTGGTAATAGAGAGTAGAGGGCTCGATCCAACGCAGTAACGTTACGTTACCCAGCTGAGGCCAACAACTGTAAATAAGCTACGTATGCTAACACATTATGTACCAGCTAGTCACAGTATTCAACGAGTTAGCCGCTTAATTGGCTCAAATAGATGCTCGGCTCTTTTTTGGGTAGGTTCTTCCCAGAAGAGGAAGAGGGGATTCCTCCCACTCCAAGTCTATGCATGCGGTTAAACAAGCAGCCTCTAAAGAAAACCTCGAACGTTACGTTTTTGCAGCCGGGCTTAGCTTAGCCGTAATGCCAATATGCATAATAATCAGCGAATATGCAGGACTTCTTTGTTGTAAGTGAAGCAGCCTGAGTAGCCGAGGCTCTCTCCCCCGGAGCAGACGTGAAGGCCCCGGGTCTTTTACTCGGCTTGGTAAACATGCATCCCGGGGGGAAATGTAAGACGGAACTCTTTATGTTAGGACCCAAACCAGCTCCCCACAGCGATCTGCGGGGCCTCAACAGATACCTGGTGGTCTATGTTTTGTTTTACTTTGTGCTGGTCACTCACGCGTCCCCGGCGAAACCGTGCGACAAGAATTGTGTCTCTGGGAAATGTGTCAACGGATCGTGCATCTGTGACCGAGGATGGGTCGGAGACCAGTGCCAGCACTGCCAAGGGAGGTTCAAGTAAGTGGCCATGCACTTAAAGCGATTCCATCTTTTACTAGACACCAGATCACTTCATTGTTTGTCATAACTATCATCATTCAGTTTTTAAAAAATGGTCTGAGCCACTCAAAGTAGGTTAGGAGCTGATATAACCCAGTAGTGTTTGTTTTCCATTAACGGTGTCAGTGGAGATCACTCGGCAAACGGACCACGTTAATGACAAAACTGTCTCAAATGACAAAGTTAAACCCCCTTTTTACACTTTGAATCAGTTAACAAGCCGACTGTTGCTCAAAACTTAACTTTACTTTTGAATGAGCTGCTAGATGAAAGACCTGTTGAGCTCAGTGCCTGGAAGACACAGGGTTTTATTTCTAATAAGTATTAATATGGGACAAGAATACTTTATTAAAATGCTTGGATTCATCACTAGCCAAAGCTTTGATAATGTGAACCCACAATGTTATATTTTAGGTTCTGATACAGGTAATTATTTGCATCATCCTTGATTGATTGGTCTATAAAATGTTGGAAAAGGGCCCATCAAGCTTGACTGACTTATTCAAATTACTTGTTGTGTTCGACTTAAAGTCCAAAACATCGTTTCTCTCTTTGCCTGTAGCCTCCTTCAATCCTTCAATTAGTTGTTTGTGATGTATACGTGTTCACTTGAGATACAGGCATGTATTACCCACATGTCCGATCCAATCTGCACATGTAAGCATGGACCATGCGACGTTATAGTGACTTCCTGCCAGAGGCGTTTGCATTAATTACAAATAAAATCCTTAAAAGACTAATTTTCTTAAGCTTTTGCCAGAGAAAGGAGCCTAAAGTCGCTTTGAGGAAAAAAATTCTGCAACTAATTGCCTTGCAGCCTATATGGTGATGATGTCTATTGTTCCTAAATTGGAAGAATATAGGTTTTGATCAGCACAGGTACATGACATGTCAATGTCAAAAAAGTGCAATTCGTTTGCGTTTCACATAAGTAATAGGGAAATATTTCAACCTAAGAATAAACGTCAAACTGCTGTATAATAATATCTGGAGTGTGACTCTTGACAGGAGCAATCTGATGGCTTTTCAGTACACCTGAGGTGACTCTGTGCTACAGAAGGCTTTGGTCACAGTAATTAGCATTGCCGCTGATGTGTCTGAGGTTTTGTATGGGTTGTCAATGAGGCATGTTGTCGGGGAATAACCTCCCCTTCACCTCGAGGCAAACCACTAAAATGTTAGATTTGAACTGTTCGGCTCTTCTGCAGTCAGTGGAACGGGTTAATACATGACCAATTAAACACGGCTGCATTACAAGCTGTGGCTTCCCTCAAAAGGACCGGACGTCACAGTGGCCAATGGGAACGTACTGTCTTGAAATGTTCAGGGACAGACGCAGCATAGCATTTCCCTGGGAAGTCCAAAGTGCTGCATGTAAATTTCATCACTCTTGGATGTCTGCGGGGCTCCAACTCCAATGCTGGCTGCACGCTGCTGGGTGTTTGTCATCGAGGGTTCACCTCGATCAACAGTCTTCGGATAAAGACCATCAATCTGTAGATGCACCTCACGCATATCTATCATAATACCTTCTTTTATAATGCGAGTTGTAAACAAAAAAACAGAACAATGTTTTTGGAAAATGTTTTCTGTCAGGTGTCAAGATCGTATCAAAAGCATAACATCGCCTCTTTTATGAGATTGCAACATCTTTAGGCCATTATCCTGTCAACAAACCTCCAAATGGAAAGTAATCTCGGATCATGTTACTCATCTAAAACAATGCGTGGACATAAAAGGGAATACGTTTCACTTTCTGTGTTACTCAGCCCGCCCCCGAGAGCCGGTATGTATCTGTGAAGCTTCCCGAGTCAGAAATAACAGAACCGGGGCTCTCAGTCTCTCTGTGATGTCGAGGCCTGAACGGTGTCGACTGACAGATTCATGGAGTCTTTGTCTCAACTTTGACTTCCAAAATGAGTTTTTTTTTTTTTTAATCAAAGTCTAATCCGCTGCAAAACCAGAAAATGCGTCGCTGTGTCGAGAAAATAGTTTTGGGTTATCCGTCTTCCTTGTGATGTGGGACAGTGATGCATTTCAATTTAAAAGTCATTTATCCACAGTGTACTTCATTTGGGCTGTCTGCCATCCTCCATGCAGGTGTTTTTGTTTAATGATTTAGACATTTTTCAGTATTTCGGTTTCATCGTCATCTTTTATTTGTATTTTTTCTTTCCTTTCCATTCGTTGTTTTTATTATCTCCTCTGTCCTTATTTCCTATTACTATTATTAAGGGATGTTAGTTTAAGAAGAGAAAAATGGAAGCAATCATATTAATTGAACTTGGTATGACTTGCATCTGTCCTTTAATAATATATATATTCATCTATCATTGTGACACACTACTGTGGTCTTTTGTGAGATGAATATTGAAATATTGTCTGGAGGCTTTAGCAGAAAGGAGCAGCTGAACCTTTTTAAGAGACAGATGATTGGATGTTTCGGTTGACAGGGATGGACTTTAGGCGCTGACTGACTTTGAATGGAATGTAATGTGTGACACTGATGTCGGACATACGAGTTAGAAGACTTTGAACCAGGACACGAGAGCTGCCTCGTCTAAAGAGCCGGGTGCTTTTCATTTTATACTCGCAGAAACACTTTACACAATGTTTGACAACATCAAGTTACACAACACTTTTCAATGCAGGTGAGGATACACATGGTGTGATTTTGGAGCGTTTTTTGATGACCAGATGAACAGTGGGACCACTGAATAGATTTGAAACAACAATATACAGACATTTATTTTTTATTTCTGTATCTGATGTCTCAGAGAAACACAACACATTAGATGATCACTTGTGGTCAAAGATGCTCTCGCTTCCTCCACTTTCGTGGCCTTAACTTTCGTTGACAGGAGTAAATACAGACTGTGTGTGTGTGTGTAGGTAGCCTGTTTATTGCTACTCTTACATGTACAGTCATTGGAGGAACTGTCTGGATTTGAAATGCACGTCGACATGAGGAAACGTATTATTGCTGTGCTGACCGTGCTGACGTTTGTGATCTTTCAGGTTGACGGAGCCCTCGGGATACCTCACCGACGGTCCAATCAACTACAAGTACAAAACAAAGTGCACCTGGCTCATTGAGGGCTAGTGAGTACTTCTGTAAATTGCCATGTTCTACTGAGGCCAAGTTTAATTACGTAGCATAAAGTTTTTAAGGAAGTGTACTTCTGTAATGTTTACTACCTAAACCCTTATTTAATTGTTTCCTCCGCAGTCCGAATGCTGTTCTCCGGTTAAGATTTAACCACTTTGCCACAGAATGTAGTTGGGACCACATGTACATCTATGACGGGGATTCGATATATGCCCCCCTGGTTGCTGTTTTCAGGTGAGGGAGTTTAATACGTATCGATTATAAACAGCAAATAAGTATTGGTCGGGTGGATGTTTTGTTAAGACGTGGGCATGATTATGTGGCTGTTTAATTTCCTTTTCACCGAATGTCGCAGGTGTCTGGTCTTTCTGATTTAGCAGAGCGTCACGGCTTTGTTTCTGATGCCAATGAACGTTGTGCCCTTCTGTACAGCGGTCTTATCGTGCCGGAGATCAGAGGAAATGAGACGGTTCCTGAGGTTGAGACGACTTCAGGCTACGCACTACTACACTTTTTCAGCGATGCCGCCTACAACCTAACAGGCTTTGAAATATTTTACTCGTAAGTATCCAGGCGCGCCATTTGAGCTGAAACTACAAGCAAAACGCAACACGATATAAAACCTTACATTGTTTATACTTTTAGAGTTGGATGCACATTGAGGTTTGGTTTTAGGCCATAACCTGAAGACATTTTTCAGGTTTTTCATTGATTGATTTTAAAACTGCAGTTGGCCGTTTTCCAGGTCCATTTATTTCTCTCCCAGCTGCTGATTGATGGTAGAATGCTTCTGCGTCCCACATTTGAGAAACAAAGAGGCTGGTACAAGTGCTTTTTCTGCTGGACTAAAACCTGCAGCAAAAATCACTATTAATTGTTAGTGACCTGCTCAATAGTTTTTCAATTATTACTAATCCTTTTATCTGCCGCACCTTTTCCAAACGCTAGATGATACTCATTAATCTTCCCCAGTCTCCAAGTAAAAGTCTGTGAGCGGCCTAAATAGTGCAATGCCAGTTTTGGATAAACGAAACGCACACATCCTTCTGTGCAGGATCAACTCTTGCCCCAATAACTGCTCCGGCCACGGGAAGTGCACCCCCGGTAACTCGGCCGCCAGCAGAGTGTACTGTGAATGTGACAAGTACTGGAAAGGCGAGGCCTGCGACATCCCTTACTGCAGGAACAACTGCGGCAGCCCCGACCATGGCTACTGCGACCTCACCGGGGAGAAGTTGTGCGTCTGCAACGACAGCTGGCAAGGTAACAGTGAGCTCCGTCCAAATCCCCCAAAAAGATGTCCGCAAACTTCCGTATCCCAAAGAATGGCTTAAACCAATTAAGAATGTCATTGTTCTGGCAGAACACGTTTTTCTTTTTCCACTGTCAACGCAGTTTAGTCATCAGATTGTTTTGTGGAGACAAAAGATTTGAAAAGTAAAGCGGAAACAAACACTGACTGATGAATCATATGCAACATACTTTTGCAATCACAGGTTGTTAGACGCTGTCGCTCCTCCCATGTCTGCTGTGGCGATTGTGTTGGAAGATGTAATGAAGACCGCGTTAGCAGACAAGTGTGAACAGCTGTGTTGATTTGTGTCATAACGCTGATTGGTAACACGGCGATAAGCTTTGTGACAGAGCGTTATTATGTGCCGCCAGCTGGAGGGAAACAAATGCTTTCACGCGATGAAACTTGACAGAATCATTAGCAGAGGCATGCGTTGTTTTGTTTTTCTTTTTTTCAGCACGGCCTTCATTCGCACACACACGCAGTTTAACATATTCACACCTCCCTGCTGTCATGTTTCGGTTAAGGAGTGATCTTTTTGTTTAGGTCTGAGAACGGCATGTTTGCTCTTCAAAGTTTCTCTCGGTAGGAATGAAAGTATGCGTCCATCCCTGAAAGAGATTCGGCATCATTCGGTGCTTTGTCTAACCATAGAGCGGTTTCATTTTGGAAATGTTGAGCCATGAACTTCAGTTACCTTGTTTGTTGCCTCGATGCTGACATTTCTTTCTCCTGTTGTCTTGTAGGCCCAGACTGCTCGCTAACCGTACCTTCAACCGAGTCCTTCTGGGTGCTACCGAGCGTCAAGCCCTTTGGCACGTCGCTCGCCAGAGCTTCCCAGAAGGCCGTGGTGCAAGATAAGGTCATGTGGGTGGTGGGTGGATACACCTTCAACTACAGCTCCTTCCAGATGATTCTCAAGTAAGTCATAGCACAAGCATGTGTCCCTTGACAAAACCATAACCTGGCGTTGGGGCTACCTGTTTCGCTTTGTCAAAACTGGCAAGAGTGAGAGTTCAGGTTTCAACGGTGTGTTTTATGAATGTATGGTTTGTGCATTCACTTAGCTAAATTGAGAATTTAGTGAGCTGAAAAGGGATTTTATAATATATGACCAATGTGGGATGCTATGACCAGGTGTCCTGTTTTATCGTGCGTGCCCACAAACATTTATGTGTTCATCAAAGTGCAAAACTGCTACCTTTCGTGATTACATCAGCTGATCGTTGGTTAAAAATGAGTTGATGTGAAGGGACAGGCTAAGTGCTTGCAGTGTTTCTGCATAAGTTTTAATGCATTAATGTTCTGTTGCTTTTGGTCTGCAGCTACAACCTGGAGAGTGGCATCTGGAACACAGTTCCCATCAACAGTGGCCCTGTGCCAAGATACGGCCACTCACTTGCTGCCTACCAGGTAAACACGCACAGATATGGCTCAGTCTCTCCGAGTAAAAATAGACTCTATGGGAAGCTAATGTTAGCAGGAAGGAGGGAGAATTAGAATTTGGGGGCGAAACAGCAATACAAGTTTGCCCGCACCAAAAGTAAACCACACAAGTCACTTTCACTCTATAACTTTAACTGTAAGAAGATGAAGGAATTTCAACTAAACAGGCTTGTTTGAAAAGGTGCATTTTATACTATCTTTTGACCAAAGTTAGTGTTTCATTTCACTCTTATTACAGCATCATTTTCACTCAACACTCAACTCTGCTCTTTTCAGGACGACATCTATATGTTTGGTGGGAAACTGGAGGCGGGCTGGGGTAACGTGACGGACGAGCTGTGGGCGTTCAACGTGCCCAGTCGGACGTGGCAGCGGAGAAATCCCGTGGTTGGCCCACCGGCCCAGGCTCAGATCTATGCTGTGGAGGGTCACTCGGCCCACTGCGTTCCACTAGAGGAGGGCGAGGCCATTATGCTGGTCATCTTTGGCTACTCCCCGGTCTACAACTATGTCAGCAACGTCCAGGAGTACAACCTGCGTGAGTCACAACTTTAACAGACTGTTTGTTTTTTTCTCACTCTAATCAGCTCTCTCTGTTTTTTATATCCCTCCCATCGCATGAAAAAGTATTTGCTTGGGACTTGTATTTACTTTAATAAAGTACAAAACACGCAGCATCATTCGAATTAACAGCTTCCTGTCTGTGTGTCCTTGTCAGGGTCCAACACGTGGCTGGTGCCTGAGACTAAAGGCGCCGTTCCTCAGGGAGGTTACGGCCACAGCAGCACATATGACGGCGGCAGTGGTAGTGTGTACGTCCACGGAGGCTATAAGGCGGTGCCTGCCAACAAATACGGCCTTGTTGATGACCTCTACCGCTACGACGTTAACACCCGGACATGGTAAATCAACCACATGTTCATTATGCATTCATGTCCTTGTACATGACACTGTTTGTTAAATAGTTTCTCGTTACGCTTGCCCTTGAAACACTTGTCACGTGTGTTCTAGGTTCATTCTGAGAGAGAGCGGCTTTCCGCGCTACTTGCACTCGTCCGTGCTCCTCAGCGGCACCCTGCTCGTCTTTGGCGGCAACACGCACAACGACACGTCACTCAGCAACGGCGCCAAGTGTTTCTCCGCTGACTTCTTTGCCTACGACATTGGTAGGACTCTCGTATTATTCTGGACATCATGTTTGAGTGGTGACCTCTCCGGTGGTGTCAGTAGCTTGAATATATGTTCGTTAAAAGACCTTCTCTGTGTCGTAAGCACAGAGACAAAGCAGATGCTCCCTGACATATACCGTATATTGTGTTTTCCTTAGCTTGTGATGAGTGGAGGCTCTTGCCCAAACCAGACCTGCACAGGGATGTCAACCGCTTTGGTCACTCTGCTGTGGTCAGCAATGGGTGAGTCTCTCTCATTTCTCCCCCCCCCCTCTGAAGTTATAAAAATAGAACAGTCAAGTTTTTCTTTATTGTGTTCCTCCTTGTTTACACTCTGCTGTCACCATTTATTTCAGGTCCATGTATTTGTTTGGGGGCTTCTCCGGCGTGCTGCTCAACGACGTGCTTGTTTACCGACCCCCCAGCTGCCAGGCCTTCTTGGCAGAGGAGGGGTGTGTGAAGGCTGGGCCAGGGGTCCGCTGCATCTGGAGCAGAGGCCACTGTCTCCCCTGGGAACCCAGCATGGCTAATGGGAGCCTTACTCCTGCCCCATTCTGCCCCCCTAAAGCTGGTGAGAGAGAGACAATGTCCAAAGTTTTAAGAAATAATATTTCCAAGCCAATCTGCTCTTCCACACTTCTCCTTAAGAGTGACAACACAGTAATTTAGGCTCTCAGCTATTCTAAATGACTAACATGTTTTATGTTTATATTGTCAACTACATGCAAGCTGAGTGCCAAAGAAACTGTTTGCTTTCTTATTCCTGAGGAACTATTTCCATCTATTTAAAATGAAATACTTATTATGTATTCCAAAAAATGTGTGATTTTTGGACCATATAAACACTCATTACTGCTGTTGTACCTCTCCCTGTATCTTTTTCAGTCACAGTGGACGAGCTGTGCTACCGGTTCTCAGACTGCTCCAGCTGTACGGCCAACACCAACGGGTGCCAGTGGTGCGATGACAAGAAGTGCCTCTCCGCCTCCAGCAATTGCACCTCAGTGAGTGGTCCAACAGGGGGCGTCGGCGCTCTTCTGAAACACTCGCGCTCTGAAACTCCAGTTCAACTCTTCCTGATCCATCTTCAAAGCTTTAACCGTCCCGTCTGTTCTATTCTCTCCTCTCTTTTGTCCCTAGAACGTGAAGAACTTCGCCGAGTGTCCGGTGCGGAACGAGCAGGTGTGCAGCAAGCTCGCCAACTGCAAGAGCTGCTCGCTGAATCTCAACTGTCAGTGGGACCAGAATCAGTCGGAGTGCCACGCTTTGCCAGGTAAGATGGACGTCGGACCCCCAAGCATGTTTCCGTACGCACGAACACACACACCACCCTATTGAAGGCTGTGGTTTCATGAGAACAGAGTCACGTTTACTGTGTCTGTTTGTTGCTGTAAGTGTAGCACTTACTATTGCACATGATCTCCTTGAGCTCATGGGTGAAATCTGATGTAAGACTTAACGCGTCATAACACAAAGCAGTCACTTTTGTTGTGAGGTGATGTTGCGTTCACTGTAATAAATGCCTCTACTGACATTCAGACCCGAAGGGAATATTTAAACAGATATTTAATAAGTTTAGGATTTGTACACTGTATTGTAAACAGCATTTGGTATTTGCAGGGATGTACTTTCAAGATGTCAGCCTGATGTTGTTTATCAGTTTTGGCAGATTATTAAGTTTACCTCCCCCCCACCCGAATGTTGACTCAGACTGAATCTGAAGAATTGCTGCAGTCACTTTATCCATAATTTTCAGTTCGGGAAGCCTTGTCGCCTCGGGGCTTGTTGCAGCAGTGGGAGCTTCAAATCGTGTGTGTGTGTGTGTGTGTGTGTGTGTGTGTGTGTGTGTGAGAGAGAGAGAGAGAGATTCTGATGCCTGAAAGGGAGTCTCGGCACGATTCGTACACTTCAAATGGATACATGCCGCCATCCACTTGCACTTGCACACACACATCTAAATGAGAGCCACCATATTTTTTTTATGAGAAGCATTAATTAACTGGCAGTTTGGCTTCCAAAAATCACTCCATCTCTCCAAGGCAAATGAGTACGGATTACACTCCCTCTAAATCTATGACACACACACAGATACACGCGCACACTAAGTCCTAAATATTAGGCCCCTAAGGTTTGGAAGAAGAACTTCCTGCAATCTGATAGAATGGTGGCCCCGTTGAGCAGTATATATCAAACGATTTAACTTCTAGTTTAAAACATCAATAATTCATATTTTTATAACAATGTAACAAATTAGAGGTGTGAAGACGATGTGAAAGGGCTCCCTCGAAGTGATGCACCTGCTGTGTTATCACCTGAATCTACAGCCCACCACGCTGCTGTTCGCTCACAGAAGGCAGCTGTTAATGAAAACACTAGACGTGCGACGATACTGATACTGATAGTGATTTAGGATATCAGTCCGATAGGGACTCAAACATCTGGATCAGATATCGGTAATGGATAACGATTTTTACAAATAACAACTCGGTACATTTATATCTTTGGATTTATTTGGTAAACAATGTGTAAGTCAAGCCTGATGTTGTCTTGCATATAAAAAAATGTATTCCTGTCACTTTCATACAGTGAGGAATACAGCTTATTGACTAAACACTGGTACCGGATCGGTAATCGGTATCAGCCGATACCCAAATCTCAGGTATCGGTATTTGGACTGATTCAGTCGGGTCAGTGCATCCCTAGAAGTAGCAACAAAAACCCGCAGTACAGAACCTGCTGAAGAGACTTGCTGGTCAACAAAGTGGAGCATTTAAAGGCGAAATAATTAGATATTTGCTGAAGGAGTTGGTAACTGTTGGCTGTGTAAACGGCAACTGCTCTTGCAGTATTTACAGGTATAATCATGTCTATGTCTTACAGATTTAAAAGGGAAATAAACGGAGAGTAGGCCTATATTGTTACTAACATAATAACATCATCATACATCAGACTCTCTCCTTTTTCCAGCCCAGCAGTGCAGTGAGGGATGGAGCCAGGTGGGGGAAGCCTGCCTGAGGATCAACTCCAGCCGCGAGAGTTATGACAACGCCCAGCACTACTGCAAAAACCTCAACGGAAACATCGCCTCACTCACCACCTCCAAACAAGTGGACTTTGTGCTCGAGGAACTGGAGAAGCTCCAGCAACTAGACAAGGTAAATATAAATTTAATGCACGCGCCTGCAGTAAATACTGTATCAAATGAAGTCGGATACGTTGTCAGGTATCGTCAGATGCCGGCTGATTGGGTATGCGACTTACAATTTGGCGTTGAGCTGACAGAAGGGAACAGGGAGTGATTTTCTGCTCGTCGAGCCTGTCAGCAACTCATCAGAGTTCTGCTTTCGGAGATGATTTTCCTCCTGATCAGTTTTGTACATGCGCCGGCTCTGTTTTCCGTCTGATTGCAGCTCCGCTTTTAGCTTGTGTAATTTCTGTCTTTCAACCATTTTCCATCGAATTGTTTCCACTTTCCACGCAGACTACATGGTTTGTTTTTGACTATGATGCAATTACAACTAGACGAGAAATACAACAATGCTATGCTTAAATTACGGAGATACAGCACCTGACAAATAGGACTACGATGATCAACACCCCACTTAGTTTTGTTTTGCCTTGTTTGAAATATTTCATCCTTTTGTAACACCGTCACAGTTTCTTCTTTCTGTGTTATGTGACTCGCTGTCTGTAGCAACAATCGTAAGCACATATCTAAAGCATGCTGAGTCGGGTTTGCTTGTAGTTTTCACTTTGATCAGAGTATAGCTTTGAAATTCCTTTTGCTTTTTATACTGTGAATTTTAGTTTTTCCTGAATAAGCACAAATATATCAACACGTTAACGAGCATCTGTGATGCAAATTCAAAATGTGTGTATACGGAAAAGAACACGGAACGGCACATGGAACACAATACGGAATTTGGAACGGAACAAGGAATGGCACATGGAACACAATACGGAATTTGGAACGGGGAACGGGACACGGAACATGGAACACAATACGGAATTTGGAACGGGGAACGGCACACGGAACGGCACACGGAACGGCACACGGAACGGCACACGGAACGGCACATGGAACACAATTCGGAACACGAAACGGAACACGGATCGGAACACGGAACCTATACGGATTGGAACAGAATACGGAACAGGCATCGACCAGAATCCAAAATTCCCACACTGTAAAATGCTGCAACTTGAGAAGGCAGTTGAGAACGGCGCATGAATTATAGCTTAATTATGATTTGTCCCGACAACATCATAATTGAAGCCTCCTCATCTTTAACAGGAAAAGATGAAACGCTCTTTTGGGCAAACACTCACCTTCTCATCTCGCCACAGCTACACACATCCACCCTCGCACTGAAAGATAATTGTGGAGTCGACTGATGATTTTAGTTTGGCTGCTCCATTCATTAGGACGTCATTTGTTGTCAGTCTGCTGGGTTGAAGTGTTTGTTCCAAACAGAACCTTGGCAAGCCATTTCCCCATTACATTACAAGTTGAATCCTGAAGGCAAACAAGTAATCATATCTGTGAAATTATTTTCAGTCAACTTTTAATGGCATTCTTGGTTCCTCGGTATAAACAGCACGCCGGAGCAGACGGGGAGGCAGAGTTGTGATACTGTATCCTACGTTTGTGACTCGTTCGGTCTTCGTGTGTTTAGCCTTTTTTTGCCGTGTGTCCACAGCGGCTGTCTCCCTGGGTGGGCCTGAGGAAAATCAACGTGTCGTACTGGGGCTGGGAGGACATGTCTCCCTTCACCAACAGCAGCTTGCGCTGGCTGCCTGGCGAGCCCAGTGACTCTGGGTTCTGTGCCTACCTGGAGGAGCCTCAGGTGTCCGGCCTCAGAGCCAATCCATGCACTGCCACTGCCCACGGCCTCATCTGTGAAAAAGCTACCGGTGAGAGACGCTCGCATGTATATACAACATTAATATGTCACCTGTACAGTCTGAAATGGGGGGAAAAAAAGACTCATTATCCTTTCCTTTATTTCTGTTTTGCCCTCTCCTGTCCAGGAAACCCCAATCAGAGTACCCGTCCAGCCTGTAAGAAGCCTTGCTCGCTGCACACCAATTGTGCCAACTGTACCAGCCAGGCCATGGAGTGCATGTGGTGCGGCAGTACGCAGCGCTGCGTCGACTCCACCGCCTACGTCATCTCTTTTCCCTATGGCCAGTGTCTGGAGTGGCAGACTGGAGACTGTGTGGGTAAGTGTCTTTCACTGAACTTAATCTAGATGAGACTTCTCTGAAGTCTACAGTCTGGCATTAAGGTGGTCGGCAGCAAGCTTTCTGTAATAAGTCAATATTCATCGCTGCCAGAAAACAGCTTAAATTGGAAGGTGTTTGTGTCCGAGGGAAAACGGTATTGGTTTCCTGTGATTGGCTTTGGTAGCGTTTTTTTTTTTTTTTTTTTTTTTTGTTATGGCCATTTTTTTTTTTTTTTCCGCCCCCCCCCCCCCCCCCCCCCAACTGTTAGATTTCCCTGTTGACCGAGCTCCAGAGGGACTATCACTGTTAGCTGGCCTTAAGTGGTTTAAAGTCAGTCAGGAATCAGGGAACAGTTTCACACAAGGCTACAAACACCTACAACCAGAGAAACATGATAGGAATGGCTGCACATACAGTAATGTTATTGTAGGATTTAGGAATAGATGAACCCGAGGCCACTTTGACAACTTTATGGTATAGTTGCAGTGCAATTCGGTAATAATCCAAAGGCCTCAGTATCAGAAACAAACAGAATCAAAGTGCTCTCTTTTCAGGCAGTACCATAATTATATAATTCTTAACGCTCTAAAGATTACTGTATGTACATATCCATGTCATATCCTTGAATATCCTGAACATGTTTTCTAGAGTTCATAATTGAATGTGATAACTCATTTTATCCCCTTAATTCTTCATAAAACAGATTACAAAGAGCTTTACACTCAAAACAAACAATCCAAACAAGCGATGAAGAAAATCGCAGCAAAGAAAAAAGGGGATTACCTATCAGGGTTGGATAGATGGCGTAATAGGTTTAGATTCAAACACGAAACAATGTCTCGCAACAACAAAACACATCTCCTTCTTATTTGTTACCGTGTCCTAAAGTAAACTGAATAAGTACTGGACACACAGAGGTAAAGCAGTTAACAGTGTTTTCACCGCACAGTGGTAAGTTGATCAGAGAGATCCCTCACCTGAAGGCTGGTGCCGCTGTGCTGCGTGATGTATGAATTATCCCCGTAGTCGTGTCAGATCGTAACAAACGTCTCAGGTCAGTTTAGTGGGTAACAAATTTAGGGAGCTGAATGGTGCGGCCTGAAATTAATTTGTGTCAGCTGGTGTTGGGTTACCCAGAGACACTGCTGTGCGCCGTGGATATTTGTCTTGGAGGAATTTGTCCCTTTTTTTTTTTTTTGGCGTGAAGGACAGAGAAGGGCATCCTATAAATTCTTTCTTTTTCTCTTTTTCGTTCTGTCCGACTTCGCTCCTTCACATTCACTCTAAAAGTTTCAGTCACCACTTGAGTCTTGAATTACCTCGCTTACTTTAATTGTTTCCTCTTAGTGCATAGGGAGGCTTTCTTTATGCTGAGTACACTGCTTACATGTGCTTCAAACCACAGACCGAGGATAAATGGCCTGTTTTGGCTTTGAAACGGCAGACTGATTAACAAGAAAAAAAGAGTCTAATTTTGCAGATCTGACAAGTAGTTATTCTTTGTGAGTCACTAATGTTTGTTAGCTTTTTATTTATGGCTTTCAACTGTAGTTCTAGTGGTTTCTGCCGGTCATGATTCCGAACGTCTCCTCTGAGTCTGCGTAGCCATATCTTCCAGATCAAACAGTCAGACCAAACGCATCCCTGTCGCATCTCTGCCGCGAACACGCCGTCTATCTGTTTCATCAACAAAAAGCAAATCCCCCCCGAAGCTGCTTTTACTTCAGACAGAATTTTAAACATGCAAGGTCGAGTTGACTTTCTCTTTTTCCTCGGGGCTTGATTTGATCTTTGATAACAGGACCGGCCGGTGTGCTCCACTGTGTCTGTTGCTCCCGCAGCTACGCTGAATGTGACCAGATGCACTGCACAATTATTCTGTTAATTTTTCAAGCCAAAATGGCAAACGTTTGCATTATTGAGATGGAAGAAGTTGAAATGGTGCATCCCTAATATATGGTGGTAAAATGAATCTCTACATTTTGGACTGTTGGTGGAATGATGTCACCTTGGGGTCCTGGGAATTTATGGTTTGTAATTCATAATTTTCACAAAGGAAAACAAATCATTACTTGAGAAAATAATCTGCAGATTATGAAAATAACCACGAGTTGCAACCCAAGCTGAGAGACAGCTGTTATAATAAGAGCAACCCTTTCTGATTAGTTTGCCATCTGTTGATTGCAGGGTGCGTTAAAAAGACACGTCAAGACACAGAAAAAAACACAGATATTGAAGCGGTCGAGGTCGTCATTTTGATCAATAATCTTTGTAGGCTCTGGAGGCAGGAACACTTTGCGAGCAGCGCAACAGCCCGCAGGCGCAGTTTAAAGTAAATGTAACCACAGGAGATGTTTGGACAGCAGAGTGGATGTAAAATAAACAGATCTCATAAAGTCTGAGCCTCCAGAGTTTTACCTTCAAAGACATTTTCATGTCATTTGTGACTGTCTGCTGAAAGTTCCACATTTTAAAATGCAACATAAAAACATTCAGACCTGACATTGCTGTTGAGAGACTCGGGGGGTCCAGGAGTACAGGTTATATTTGTATAACATACACATGCTTGGCTGTACAGACCCAGTCGTAATCACCATCCAATTAATGCACCGGCTCCAGGCGCCACATCCAGTCATTCGTGCTCACACATGTTGATTGTCTAATTCCATCTGGATTTAGTTTTTATGGCAGATTTTGTATTTCAACATTACTTTTGTTTTCTTGGCGAGACAGAATTCTTCGTCCTCCTGCTTCATTTCCTTCGACTGGTATGCGAGCGACAAATCTGCCACTTTGCGTCAAAACAAACTCAAATGGCTTTTCAGTGCTTTTGTACTGATTGTTCTCGCGTTGTCATGGTTTCACATCCATTAGCGGAATAGCTGGAGATTTGTTTGACATAAACTGAGGTAAAAGCACTCAGTGTTTGTCTCCCCCCCTCCTCTCGTGTGTCTATCTGGCAGGCAAGTGGCGGCGCTGAAACTTGTCACGCAATTTAGTCCCCAAACCCCCCCCCCCCCCCCCCCCCCCAACTGACACAACAGCATTGGTCCTTTTGGTTCAGAGCGAGGTGCCACTTCACACATCACATTTAAACCTCTCATTGAACTTTTGCTCAAGTCCCAAACTTTTCACCGGCCCTGGTTTCTGTCTCATCTCTTGCCCTCGTCTCCCCTCAATCAGCTGTTAAATGCTCAGCACTTGCTTCTTATCGTCTTATGGGCTCTTAAATCTGTTGTCCTGGCAGCTCATCAGATAACCAGCTTGTGTCTTCAGTGCAGAGCACATTAATGCTCCTTAATCTGCAGGTCCTGTTAAACGCTAAGAAATGACTGAAGTTGAAAATACAACCCTGAAAGCAACATCCTTCAGGACTTTTGTTTACGGCAACATTGGGCCTTGTTGTTACAATTGGCAGCCTGCTGTTTGTTTCAAGGCGACTACACAGTAAATACATTTTCAAATGAGAGGGAATAGACAAATGTGGCAAACGAAGATAGAAAACACTTTTGGATTGAAATCCTTGAGCAGAGGAGTGCAGCAGGAACGGAAACTTTCTAATATGGTAAGAAAGAAATACAAGTCTCTCACCCGTCTCTCCTTCAGCCCAGAACTGTTCAGGCCTGCGGACATGTTCCCAATGCTTGCAGCAGCCCGAGTGCGGCTGGTGCGGCGATCCCAGCAGCACAGGGAAGGGCCTCTGCACGGAGGGGTCCTACCGAGGGCCGATGAAGAGGCCGGCGAAGCAGGGCCAGCCGATCCAGTCCGGGGACATGATCCTGGAGCCGGGCATCTGCCCCAAAGACAAGGGCTACGAGTGGGCCTTCATCCACTGCCCCGGTAAGGGATCCACTTCCTGGTCAGGTCATTTGTCATCAGTGTATCTTGTGTATTGACTGTCATGTCTTAAGTTTCAAAAGATGTTCTTATCAAGGCTTCTTGTTACAGCTTCCCCTATGCAACTAATCCCTCCCTGCTGACTCTATGCAACCTTATGCTCGTGTGCCATTTAATGCCGTCATCAAGCCCCAGTCATACGACCACGTCATGTGAGACGATGACATAATCACAGCTAGCTGTAATATGAGAATGTGCTCAGTGGTATCAGTAATGTGTAAAAGCCTTGATAAATCACGTAAAAGGGTTTGAGTTACTTTTCCTTATTATGGGTTTAAGCCTTCAGGTGCACACCTTAATGTGTCTTTAATTCCATGTTTCACTCTCAATGGTGGAATTAATCATAACAATCTATATGTACTGTGGCTGAAAATCAATACAAACAAGGTTACTTAAAATAACCACTTATTTGTATATAGCCTTTTTCCATTAGATGTTGTATCTGTACAGAAATGCAGCTTCATTAAAAGTAGCAGCCATTATAATTATTTTAAAAGGCCAGTCTGATTAAATAGTAATTTAAGATGACATGGCAGGCACGAGCTACTGACAGCTCTGATGCGTCTGTGGCTTTTCCAGGAAGCAACAACAACAACCCTAGGTGTAAATTTAGTTGGGCTGGTGTCAAATCCTATCTGCTTAGTAGCTACAGGGAGCAAGATCAAAATGATTGTGTGACTTGGACACAAACTATTCAAAACTAGCTTGCAGAATGACGGAGAAGCTTGTGACCGCAAGCATGTTGGCAGAAATCATCATTAAAAGGAAATTAAATAAAAATCCATGTTGGTCTTGCCTTGTGTTAGCTTGCGAGTACAACCAAAAACGAGGTTAATCAGTATCTGACATTTTATTTTCACTCGTCTACTAAATATGTAGCTGAAAGGCAGACCGTTAACCCTGACGTTACATGAATCCATAACCGCTCTCTGTTTCATTCTCAGCGTGCCAGTGTAACGGCCACAGCACCTGTGTGAACGGCAGCGTGTGCGAACATTGCCGGAACCTCACCACTGGTCCTCACTGCCAGACCTGCATGCCCGGTTATCACGGAGACCCGACCAATGGCGGCAAATGCCAGGGTGAGTTACTCTGCACGCGTGAGACTTAATGGTTTCACTTGATATCCTTTTGGTGAAGCGGTCAAGTCACGTAGTTTCCCCCCCCCCTTTAACTTATCTTAATCATCTGTATGCATTTCATTTAAGCTGAACAAATGCAACAAATTACATTCTGTGTTATTTTATTTGGACCTGTGTGTGTGTGTGTGTGTGTGTGTGTGTGTGTGTGTGTGTGTGTGTGTGTGTGTGTGTGTGTGTGTGTGTGTGTGTGTGTGTGTGTGTGTGTGTGTGTGTGTGTGTGTGTGTGTGAGTGAGTGAGTGAGAGAATTAAACTGTTCGAGGACTATTATTAAGTTACTGAATTCTAATTGGTGCATCGTGTGATAAACATCCAGTAATACAGCATCTTAACCAACAGAGGGCACTATTGTGTATTGATAAGAATTGGTGACGGTTTGTCTGTCCCGTTTGATTAACGGGAATATTCCTCCAGATGTTGGTTTCATAAAGTGTTGACAGAAAAACAAGGAAAAGTAAAAGAGGCATCTGGTCTCCGTTGGTTTATTTTGTTGCTGTGTTAACTCACCAGCCTCATTAAAGATTAACTGTTTTCCTGACATGAGAGCAGATGTGAAAAGCGGAGGTGAAGCTGAAGATCAAATACTGACTTCTTGTGTTTCTGTGTTTTCTGTCGCACTCTAAAGCCCTGCTTTGCGTCATGCATCGTAATTGCGGATGGAGGGAGAATACACACACACACACACACACGTACAGGACGTTGTGAAAGATTGACAATATAAAAGCATGATACAAATTCCAACACATATCCACAATGATTTAATTGTCAGGGTGTGGTGCTCGGGGTTTTTTTTTTTTTTTTTTTTCCCTCTGGATATAAAACTGCTTCGATTGAGATGTGAATCGCACATAATGCAGATTTATTATCCGTGTCTCCTGCTCGCTGCAGAATAAATTTACTTGGGAGTGACTGCGAACCATAATTTATACGGCATTCATGTTTTCAAAGCAAAAACACACATAATGCTTGCTGAATTTAATGTGGGGAATGAGTGTAAACAAAGGAACGTGCATTTAAGTAAATATGAAATGACTGTGCGTTTGATAGCAGTCTCAGGGTATTGGTAAGTAAATATAGATTGAGTGGTTCCATGTCGAGAGGAGCTTTACCCACACTGGCCCCTTATGTGACATGAATAGCATTCCTGAGAAATTACATGGAAGCTATTTGAACTGTCAGACTGTGAGCCACACACACACATCTGGGAGCTTTATGCTCTCAGATACCATCTGTCAATGCATTGGCTATATCTGTAACCCGTAAAGTGAAACTACTCAGGTGAGCATCTGTGACGGGAATATCCTTCTCATTCTTTCGGAGCCTGAGGACAAAATGACTCAAAGTCATTATGTGTCATTACTGCATGCAAATAGACAGGGGACCCATTGCATATTCAATGTTTGTTTTACGCACGGCGGGCACGTAGCAAACCCCTCCCGATCCATTGTGGCTCGCACACAGTAAGTACAACTAACTCGCTGTTTCGCCAGCTGTCAATAACAGGAAGTGCAGAAAGAAAGTGCTGCGACTCTCAGTCTAAAAGCAGTCCTGTCACCTGAAATATTCACATGTACCATCTCGGGGAAATATGCTCGAAGAAGTTTCAGCACTGTGTCCACTGACCCTTCTGTAATACACCGTCTCATTGTTTTAAAGCTCTGTCAACTGAATAGGAAGAGGTGAGGGTGTTTTTTTTTTTTTTTTTTGGAAAGGCTGCCACACTAGAAGCACTCTTAAGCAGTCAATTCACACATGTGTTTGTATTCCACACGCACCCCAGTGCCTTGCAGGCATCGTGGTGTCCTGTCTGGGGGGCAGATTTCTCCATCATGTCTCAGACTTTCAGTTCAGCCAATCTTTTGGGAAATACACTTGTTTGCCATTCTTACCCAGATGAATATCCGTTTCATCGCTGCGTGTTCAGTAGAGCAGAAGAGATGTCGGTAGCTTAGCACAAACACTGACTGAGTGAGTGAGAGTGAGAGTGAGAGAGTGAGAGTGAGAGAGATAGATAATGTGCCCTTAGGAGATACAGAAGTCAAAGCTTTAAACTGATGTAGGAAATCACTAACTGGGTGCCAGCACATACACACCTCACTTATCATTTGCTTTGTTTTTGTTTGATGCTAATCAACAATGCGTCTGTTCTCTCTCTCCTCTCTTTCTATCTGTGTTTTGTCGCCTCCTCCAGCCTGTAAGTGTAATGGTCACGCAAGTGTGTGCCAGGTGTTGACTGGCAAGTGCTTCTGCACCACCAAGGGGATCAAAGGAGACCAGTGCCAGCTGTGAGTACCACACACACACACACACACACATTGAAAAAAGTGTCTGGCAGCTTTGTAGTTTTTTCAGATGGTTGCATTCTCCTGCATTTCATAGTGTCGCTTTTTATTAGCAGCACATTGGGTCGTGGTTAATTTCACCCTGTTTCCAAAAGTTCAGGCCTGCAACAGAGAGGTGAAGGGAGAGACGCAGCGTTAATGTTCCAAATGAAATTCACTGACTTGAGGTAATGTCAATCAAAAGTGTGTCTCTGGGCGGCCTGTCATCGGGCCAGTAATCACTTGGGATGAAGCCACGATGAAATGCTCGGGGCTATTTTAAGGGGAACCCGTTTTGACAAGTGAGACTGATGCATATAGGAGGGTATTGTGTGCCGTTTGTGATATTTTGCCAAAAATGAATATTGGTTCTGAGATTTCAAAATATTTCTGAACAGCTTCTGTTGTTACAGAGTTAAAAAACTCTCCCTGGAGATTTTAAAGAGGATGTATACAGATTCAAGAAAGATGGAGTTGGCCCCTTGTTTGTGATTTAATATAATTGGACACAATTATTGATAACGTGGCATTGACACCAATTACAATACATCATAATGGAAGGTAGAGACACAGAGGGGTTTTCTTTTCCAAAATAAATCCTCAATATTGAAGAGCTGTCCCGGATAAGTAAGAAAGACACTGGGAAATAAGTATGTACACATCAAATGGAATTGATTTTGAATAGGGCTGAATGATCAGCTCAGGAGGTAGAGCGGGTCGTCCACTAACCGGTTCAATCCCCGGCTGCTCCAGTGTGTGAATGAGTATTAGTTCACGTCCTGGTGAGCAGGTGGTCAGTGATCAGTGTATGAATGTGTGTGTAAATGGGTCAATGTTGGCATGTAGTGTAAATCACTTTGAGCGGTCAAAAAACTAGAAAGGTGCTCAATAAATGCAAGTCCATATATATATATTTATTTATTTTGAAAAACATACTTTATGTGAGTTTTTTGTTATTACAGAATTAATTCAATTGAGAAAAGTTCACGCGCTAAATGGATGTTCTTCATATCAATTCATGCATCAGGTCATTTCAACATGACATGAAAGAGCAGTTTATCTGTTGACTCTATCTGTTGGTCACACTCGCAATATTAGTCTGGAAAAAAACCAAAACCCAATTAGATTATGTTCCCATATCGTTCAGCCCTTGAATCTGGAAATTGTCTGACTTTCAGTAACCCTTTTGTTTTAATTATGTAATGGGATTCATAGACTGTGAGGTCACAGTTCAAGAGCATTGATTTCTGATCAGTAAGAGCTGCTCTCCTCCGTCTCATGCGGACGATTGGACCCGCTGGTATAAAAACAGAAAACCACCAGTTGGCATTATTGGCCAGTAATGCCACCTCCAGCACAATTTCTGCTGATGCGGTGGATTCCTCTGGTGTGGGCGGACCATCTCCACTTAGCTGTCTGCTTTCCCAGTTGTAAGCAGAATAGACTGATGTTTTTTAATACCCCTAATGCAGTAGGAGTTACGGAGGGGTCAGTGGCAAAATGCACCCACACACCATGAGTTTTTCCTCTAAGATCACATCCCCGAACTTCTCTAATGCTGGATCCAAATCACACGATCAGGTTTGTGTTCGGGTTTCGCCATCGCTACGTGTTTCACACCGCATCTAAATTAATCTGAAAAATATCAGAGCAGTTTATCTGTATGTGAAGCATGTGTTTGTATTCGCCGGTGTGCACAAGAAAATAATCCTGCAGCATTTTCATACAACTCCATTTTTAAACTTTAGCAATCAAATTTGCTGTTCTAAACACTCAGTATCTGCCAATATTGTTTTCTTTCTCAGAGAAATCATCAAGTGCGCACGGATCAATACCTGTTACACCATTTGTGTGAGGAGCAGTTTAAAAAAAAAAAAAAGGAGCCAATAAAACAAAGTTTGTAGTTATTCTGAGTGCTGACAACTTCTATGTTTTGAACAGAAGAAGAAAGTGCGTCACCTGTAGCGACTCATTGTTTGTTAACAAAGTTCATCTCTTGTATAATACAGCAGCGATGACATCAAGGCAAGATGAAATATATTGCGTGAAAGAACACAGGCGGCGCTCGGAGGGAAGAGAAGGCCGGAGGAGAGTGAGACCTCCACAAAACCCTCGATGCCTTTTCTGTCGACTTTGACACTGAATAAATGACTCTCTGCACGAATGACAGCATGCCACATTCGTTTCCGCTAGCAGATGGAATGCACAATGCAGAGCAGCACTCTGATAGCAGGTGGCAAACAGTCGACACAAACGACTCCGTTTCCAACCATTCGAAATCAGAGCGGCGTATCGGAGCGGCCACCGAGCACCAGCAGGCCAATCATCATCAGCCATTTAGAGGGAGGGTTGTGCCCGCACTGCTCCGGAGACAGTTTTGGGAAAGGTTCCCGCGGCCCATTACTGATTATCCGCTTAAAACTTAGCCAGCAACATAAACCACCAGAATATGTTGCTAATTCAGTGCCATTTTGCGGCCTGTAATTAGATTAGCGTCGTCGTCGTCAACAACTGCTATTTCAGCGGTGTCTTTCATCTCAAAATCAAGATGCATTTTCACATTCAAACATGTCCGACTAATCACTTTTTATCCGAGGGTAATCGAATTTGTGTGTGTGTGTGTGTGTGTGTGTGTGTGTGTGTGTGTGTGTG